TTTTTTTTTTTTTTTTTTTTTTTTTTCCTTTCCAAAGAAATAGAAATCTAATAAATAAAACTGTCTTCAAACAGCCGCTTACAATTTAAAATCTCAGTACAATTTAAAATAAAGCTTACAGTTCTTTTTCAATAACAACTGATAAGTAATTAACTAATAGAGAATTTCTGGCTCCCCACTACGTTACAACAATAATTAGTTAAGCACTCCCTGGATAGCTTTGAACAGAATATATGAAATATTAATACCTCGCTGAAAGGTTCCTTTACATCATCTCGTTCAACACTGCTCTCCTGAAACAAAGTACAGCCAATATATCCTCCACATCAACGACCACTTAAAGTAAGGAGATAAACTTCATGTAGTTTTCTTAGCACCAAAGCGAAGACATTGGATGAGACAATTATATGGAGTGATCTTGAAGAAAGCTTTATTAAGTTACTTGACTCACATAATTGGGGAAAATAACCATATCAACATTTGCAGGCACATCAGCAAGCAATTGTCTCAATGAGTACTCCCGTGTGCCCACAGGGTGCATTAGTTCATCAGTATCCAGATGGATGATCCAATCCATACCAGCATTCTGTTCAATAAAAAATTAATTATCATTGAACAAGTTCACATTGAAAAGCTGTATGGAAAATAAAAATACAATACCCTGGCCATGACAATAGCCATTTCCATGTTCAAAGACTGCTTCACGAACAACTCATGATTACATGGTTTGTAGAAGAAACTTGACAGCCATGTCTCATTCCAAATCCGGCTAAAATTCAAACAAATGAATATCAATAAAAAATGGTCGAAGATCATTTTTTTCTGGAAAAAAAAGTGTTTTACAAAAGAGAATTCAGAAGCAGAAAAAATGGAGAAGAATCTCCATAGAGCCACACAACAAAGGCAATGGTGGGTTGTCTATTGTTTTCATTTATTTCTGTTTGTGCAGACACAACACAGGATATTTTGATGGGTGGTGATGTAGAGAAGAGAGTATAGTTTAGCTTCCTCAATCAGCTTGTGGAAAGATTAAAGTGGCTATCAGGATTTGAAAATAAAAGATAAAAAATTAAAAATCAACCATTAAAGGGAAGGGAAAGGAAGGTTATTCATATCTGAAATTTAAAAATAAAAAAAAAATAAAAAAAATAAAAATTTACTGACCTTCTTGCTTGCTGCTCTTCTAGCTCTTTCGTTCTGTATATAACACTTACTCCCTGAACACAAATAGGTTTTACTTGAAGATGACAACTCCAGAAGACAAAAGATAATTAATTAACATTGAGTTCACAGTGGAGGCACAGCACAGAACATGGCTCACCGGAATGGATTCTAAAACTTTGGATATGTTTGGGGAGGCAGCCTTCCCTTCCACAAAAAGGAAAAAGTTCGAAACTCCAATGACCTTGTGGAAAAAGATCCAGGGTAAAGTCTGCTCTAAACCAGCAGAAGTGCTTGTTGTGATGCATATCTGATAAGTAAAAGGTTTCAGAGCGAGAAGTTAAATACAGCAGTCTGTGTTCATCGGCAACGAAAACGAGTAGATCTCTTTCCCTGGGAAGCTGTCAAACTAGCAAGGCAAAGGTACTATACAATCCTAATCAAAAAATGAGAAAACTCACATACAGGATCGAAATTCTAAACAAATTCCATTTTCTCAGCACATCATCAGCGCCTCACGCTATATTTAAACGAAATCAATAGATATATATAGCTTGCATTCGTCAGAATCAAATAGAACATCCATTCGAATAAAAAATGAGGGAATTGGACGGGATCCAACAAACATAAGACAATAAAAACCAATCCTACTCCCGACGACTAAGAATTTGGCCACCATAACAAGATTATATAAATTGCCGCCACAAAAATCCAAGGCATGAAAATAATTTTTAGTAAAAGAACAAAGACTCACCTTGGGTTTCAGATCCGTGCCGTAGTCGAACTTCCAGTCTCGGTAGTAAGAAAAGGCAGGGGAATGGCTCCGACCAAGAAGATCAACACAATCGGAACGGGAAGAATGAGAAGGGATAGAAGGAGCAGTACTGGACATACCGGGGAACTCGTGCTGATCGGGGGACCAGCGGGTAACAGGGTCGTTGAGGCCGCCCCGCCATTGGAGGAGGAAAGCGAAGCAAGCAAGAGTCAAGGGCAGAAGAGTTAAGATGAAAAGCAAGCGAGAAGCAAGAATGTGAGAGGAAGAAGAAGAATTAGAAGAGGAATTGGGTCTCAGGGAATATTGACCCGCCATGTGTTGTTGCAGAAGGAGACTGTTTGGCGCATCGACACACACACACACACACACACACACAGAGTAATAGAAATTTAGAGAGAGAGAGAGAAAGTCGAACGACCGGAGGAAGAAGGAACTGTTTTGTCGTTACGTGTTAATGGCCGATTTCAGTTCTTTTTATTTATTTATTTTCGAATTTAAAATGCTTCAAAAATATTATTTATTAGTATTAATTGCCTCCTTCTTAATTTATTTTTTTTATTATTATTATTTTATTTATCTATTTCTTCGTATGGTAAATCTTGAAAAAGAAAAAAACTAATGACTTCGAGTAATACAATCCCAATCATGTTATAAAAAATAATTTAATTTGGATAATTTTCAACCTTCAATTTTGAGTTTCAAAATTTATACTTTTACGTTGTTGTTGTTCTTAATGATAATATTTATTAATAAATCAAAAATATTAAACTAATATTGTATATTAATGTACTTTCGAGTGATACACAAGCTAGACATTTCTAATAGAAACTGGGTTTGTAATTATTATAGTAAAATTAATTAGATAATTAACGGGTTAAAAGTATAAAATACTCAAACTTAAGAACCAAATGAACACTGAACTAAAATCTACCTTTTGAAATTTCGAGTAAAAATATAGCATTTTGAAACATATTGACCAAACCAAAACTAGACATAGAACCTAGATGCCGAAAGAAAATTTGATTTTCGAAATTTAAATTTATAATGAAAATATATATATTTATAACAATTTAAATAAATAAAAGAAGCAAAACGGGAGAATGTTTCGCCTTCATTCATAGTATGTACAGATATAGATAGCCAATCGAAGATGCATTAATAAGGTTTTATGGTCAAAGATACAAATTTCCATCTTTTCGACAATTTCTCACACTCTATATACAAGTTATCCAAAATATCATGAACAATTCCGGTAGGTTGAGCACCCTTTTCAAGAAAACATAGAATAGCAGGAACATTTAAATAGGTTTGATTCTTTATCGGATCATAAAAATCTACTTTACGAAGATCTCTTCCTTCTCTTCGGGCTCGAACATCAATTGCAATGATTCGATCTCTTCCTTCCAGACTCTCTTGGCGTATTTAATTTATTATATTTCCATTAATGGTTGATATAAAGTTAATGTAACCTTAGATGAGCCAAAAATTAGTCCAAATCTGATTGAGCTGTGTGTTTGTCTAATGGGAGGGTGGCCAAGTGTAATGCATGCCCATTCAGCCATGATTCCCAGAAGGGAGGGTACAAGAAAGAGAAACTTAATATTATTCTGTCAACGAGTCATGTTCTGTCTTCTTGTCTATTTCTAAGGTTTTGTAAGGCATTTAGTTTGTATTCTTGCTGATCTCTTGTCGTCAACATGTTTTTTCTGATCTCTTGACGTGTTTATGAGCTGTTTCTTAGTGGTTTTCTTGTTCTATATCTTTGTTTAGCCAACCATTTCTCCTGCTTTTCACTTCCAATTTTGGAAAAAAAGTTGACTATTGAGGATTGAGGGTCAGAAACGTAAGGATATGTGGTTTCTAATGCACACTACCGACTGTTTTGAGATGAGTGTCTTTAAGCGACTTCCTTTTTTGTAAGTACAGTGTTGGCGTGCCAAGGGTTGGATTATACACTCGCTATCCAGTATGAAGTCTATGATATGGCATGGACATAAAAGGGTCTAATACCTCGATAGAATCCAGATGGATTGATATTTAACGGTGGTTTAATAGAAGTTAAAGCTTCCGGTATAGGAACTCTTGTGTGGTTTCTATGATACGGTATGTTTTTTTTTGCTCAAATAGTTCACGAATCCCCTAATCCAAGTCTTGCTACCTCATTAGTTGAATAATTTTTATATTGTTACCAAACGTAGCATTTTTCAACCCTATTTTCGGTCTAGAAGATTACCATCATAGACACTTGAACAAATGAAGACTAAATTCCCAGAATGAAAATGATTTGTATCTTGAAAGAAAGGAAAGTTTTGTTCTTCCAAGAAAAATCTAGCACCAGGAAATGTAGTACCAAAGATACTAGCAGAAAATAACATAAAATTTACCACAATTAATTTATTGAGGTATGAACTGAATGAAAAACGATGAAATGTGAGATAAAAAACCAACGAAAAGTGACCCAACAGATAGGCGATCCTAGGAAGTTCGAAATATCACATCCCTAACAATGGGGGGGAGATCAGAAGAGTTGATCTAACATCACCTTTTTATTAACTTGAGCACATCTCCTACCAGATGAAGGGATCCAGTGACAAGAACCTGAATTCATCACAAAATTTGCTCAAGTAAACAACTACATTTTGATTTCTTTTTCCTTTTTTTAATTTTTTAGAACAGCACTCATAATGAACTGCATGAAATACAATTCTGAAGAACCCAACTAAGCACAAAGTAAAAGCTGATCATGGAGAAAAGGGCAGAAATAAGATCAAATGAATGACTTAGATATCTATCACCCTATGACTATCACCAACTTAAGAACAAACTAATTAACAGAGTTAAAAGGTCAAAAGAAGATATCACGAAACTGAAATTTCACAGCCATTCACAAAGTGAGATTTAACTAAGCCAATTCAGTGAAATATCTCACACCTGTAGTCTAATGGATGGGGATTCTCTGACGCAATCTCTCAGCCAATTTATCGCCAATGGCAATGAAGGCATCACTGCACTGCCACTGAATTTGTTATCCGAAAGACTTGAGTGAAATTCCTCATACAAAGGAGGTAAACCTCGCTCGTGGTCGAGCTTAAGATCCTTTTCAGATATAGAATCTGGTTCTGCAGAAACAGATGAGATGACAACCATGTTCGATCAAGATTCAAATAAAACAATTAAACCATAAATCATTAGTTGAATCATATATTAAACCACCATTTACAAAAGGAAAGCCTCCATGAATTTAGCATTAAACTATCAATAGCCTTATAATGCTGTTCATCCATGAAAAGTGCCCAACGAACTGCTATTGTGGAATCATTTGAGTAACAGAACCATTGCTTTGCTGCATGATCAGATATAAGTATAGTTCTAGGGAACTAAGTATAATTATCTTTCCTGTAAGTTGCAACTTTTTTATAGCAATACAAAAACTTCAAAGAGGGTTATCATGCACAGCCAACCATTACTTTGCTGCATCATCACATTCGGTCTGCGAGCTTTTAAAAGTTGTTAGGTATTTGTTTGGCTCAAAATAGATTGTTGTTATATAATGGAGGAAGTTCCTTTGCATCTATCACTTTGAGATACGGGTTAGATCTTGTGGAAAGCTGGGTTCTTTTTTTTTTTTGCTGTTTTGCAGGGCCTTTGGATTCAGAGGAATATTAGGATTGTTAAAGCAATTGGGAAATCCTAGGAAGAGGTGTAGTCTATTGCCAGGTTTAATGCTTCTCCTCGACTTTGAGCATTAGTCTCCAAGAGCTTTTGTAATTATCCGTTGTCTCACACAATTTTGGATCAGATCTCATTATTTGTATAGTAGTTCAGGTGGTTTAACTCCTTTTGTGGGGTTTTTTTTTTTTTTTTTTTTTTTTTT